TGCTCTTCTCTATATGCCTCGAGAGTTTCAAGAGATCTGGCTAGAAGATTGAAGGATATTAGCAGAGCATGGGATTTCTATTAATTGACATTAAATTGCAATTTCAGGGGAGCCCTCACCTTTTTTTTTTTTTTTTTTTTTTCCCCTTACTGTTTTATTGAGGGCCATTATATGCTCCATTAGAAAATTTTTGACCTGTGAACACAGCAGAGAGTGATAGAGGCCTCCAGACTGTGCTCATCCCATCCAGGATGTCAGCGATATGTGTCTCAGGGCTGTTCTTTTCTGCTCTGTTGTACAATAGCACATCAGAGCCTTTATTGCTCTTGGCAGAGTCTGTGCTACGCTGTGACTTGCCTAAGGGCCTGCACTATTTCTCCCGCTTTCCTCTTTCCCTACCCCTGTGCCCCCGGTGCATCACATAATCCAAACCATGAACACTGAGACAATAAATAGAACAAAAACTTTGTGTGAACCCTAAATATGCTGAGGTTGAGTTTACTTCTGTTTGAAACAAGGCTTACGGGAAGGGTAAATCTGTTTTATGCGGAGAGGGGAAGTGCAGTCTACTATGGGAAGAGGAATAGGGGAGGGAGGGGGGGGGGGTGTAGGGCATCCATCCAGAAACAGGAATGGCTTCCTTCCTGGTGGAAGAGAGGAGGAACAGCTGGCTGCCCGCAGCCCCCTTACAAGATTGGCTTGCAGCAGGGCAGCAAAGGACTGAGCAGTAATATTCTTGCTCCCCAGTAGACAGACTGGCTACAAGAGTGATAAGGCAAAGTATCAAAAGCAGCTGCATGGTGGAGAACCTAAGAACCTCTTGAAATGCAGTCATTGCAGTTAAAAATAAAAATAAAGAGGGGAGAGGGTATCTGTAAAAGCCGGTGGTCCCATTTTTCATCCTTTGACTGTAATAATCCTTTGGAGAGAAAATTGCCTGAAAACTGATTTGGACACTTTATACCACTTTCACATACAGCCAATCATATGGCTTCATGCTCATTTTAAGTGTCCACTCAAAAAGCTTTAGTTCTTGATTTTTGTGGCTATAATTGTAGGTGTTCAAGGTCATCTTCTCTGCTTGTTGTTTTGGGAAGTGTAGCTGGTGTGCTCAGCTCAGGACACAAAATGAAGAGCTCGCATGCAAATGCTGATTGCTGCCAGCTTAGCTGCACCCCTCTGCTTTTGTTGTTAGAGAACTCTAGTGATGCTACTGTGTTGTGAAATTATGGGTGCTCTGAGATTTAGTGTAGTGTGGGTGTATTGTATTCTGGTAAGGAATGGGGAAGATGGGTTTCCTTAGGGAAGGAAAAGATAGTAGAGGGTATTGCAAAAATGGTGCGATTTTCCAGTTTGTGTTGAAATAGATCTCTTGCCCGCACCGTCTGTCACTTAAATCCTGGAGGATAAATTTGGATAACGTGGCTGAGCCCAGGCAGGGACCACAGTTCTGTCTGTCTGTACAGCTAAGAAATCGAGCTGCTGGAGCTGTTGGGAGCAGACATGGGTAATTTCCTAGCTAGTGTGGGAGAGGGCAGCCTGCAGATGGGATACGAGAGGAGAACAATTTATTGCAGCAGGGAAAAAGTGACACATCTGGTTTGGCTTCAGACTGCTCAGAAGTAGTAATACTGCCCTGTTGGAGCTCAGGGATGGATGGGTGTTCAGCTAGTTGAACCTTTGCTCTAAGGGTTTATTTTGTCTGGGCAATGTCTCTGAAGGGCACTGCAGGTCTGAAGCTGGATTTCAAAGTTGTTAATCCTGAAAATTCCAGGGCACAGCTCTGCTCGCTTTCAGTGCAGGGTCTGCCTTTACAAGCAAACTGCTGAGGCACACTTAGTCATGGATCTAAGGACTTGTACTCCGCAGTGTTCCTGTTCCTTTCTTCGAGTCTCTTGTGCAGAGACACTAATGTAAAAAGTGTTGGTGTAGGAAAAGATCGGTTCTTCTCCGTGCACTGATACAGCATTAGGGCCCTAATTAGGGTCACCGCAACTGTCTTAGAACTGTGGGATTCCCAAGGTGTCAGGTGAATTTATTTGTGCAGTACATGCAGTGAGTGTAAACCTGGCGAATTTGTTCTTCCAATTAGCTCTGAGCGCCGAGTTCCTTTTTCCTGTGAAGTGTCCCTCGCCTTTCTAGCTCTTAGGGAGTAACAGCATAGATTGACTCTGAGTGGGCTATTATGTAGTGCAATTCAGATACAAAGATTGATTTCAAGCAGCAGTAACATCTTACTTTTTTTCTAAATGGAACAGGAAAATTAAACACGAGCAAATTCATTACCACGGATGGAACAGATGTCGGAGCTGTTGTCAGGTTGGACCAGAGAATCAGTTAGTTTTTTTTTCAAGTGTTATCATCAAAACAGAGCAGTGCATGTGCTTCGAGAAGGTATCTGAGAAACGCTATAGCAGACAATTATTGGATATTTGCCCCTGTCAGTTAGTGAATACTTAATGTTCTGAACAGTAAAAGTTTATGTTCCTCCTTTAATTTAAAAAAAAAAAAAAAAAGCCTCCCCACCACGGGCAGCGTTCTTGTTTGCTGTGTCTGGATGTTCAGTGACTTCTCTTCAGGCTGTGCCACCACCCTCTGCCAAAGGCCTTTCAGCAGGCTTCTGGAGGAAAAGTAAGAGGAGATGGTACAAAATTCAAGGCTTTACGCCACTCTTCATAGTAAATCCTGAGCTCTGCTACTCTACTTTCAGAAACCCCAGCTGCTAACAGTTGAACAGCAATACTTGGTCAGAAGATGTGGCTATCTGGACCGTCCTGGCTGGGCAGGAGGGTAACGCATGCTCATAACTATTAAAAAGAAAAACAGTCAATAAGCGGCTGTGACGGAGATGCAGGGCAGCTGCCTTCAGTTCAGAGCACTGACTGTGGGAGGCTGTAGTTTTTGCTGTGGAGGCTTGGTTACCTAGGAAACCTGGTTTTAGCTGGATCTCTGCTCCAGTGGAGAGCCCATCTGTACCTGCTACTTCTTTATTTTGAAACGGCTGTTTTACAGCGAAATACCTGACAGGAGTGTTTGCAGAGCTGGATTCTCGTGGTCCCGGGTGCTTGCGTCTAATGATGAGGCGATGATGGCATCGGGACTTCTGTGGCCGGATTGAAAACGTATTAATATTTCCGCTTAGTGAAGTGGGCCGCTGTCACAGAGCGGAGGCTGCTGTGGGTTGTTAAATCCTGGAATTGCATGCCTGGAGTTTGCAGAAAACTTTGTTCATTCTGATTTGCAGTTCAGCTCCAAGGCTCCAGCTGGTACATTAGGATAAACTGAAGCAGCTTCTCCTTCTGTAGTGAATAAACAGCCTCACTAGGCCTGTGAGCTTCCCTTTTTTGGGACATATGTAAACTTTTGATACTGGAGAACTTCTGGCATCGGAAGGCAGTGATTTCAGGATTGTATTCAGGATCTCTAATTTGTTTAATTCCAGACCTTGCCTATCTCTTCACATCTGTCTTTTTGCTGTAGGCTTTTCATTTTGTCTTTTCTGAATACTCTGGAATTTTGAGGGTGGAGAAACCCTAATTTTTCCCTTAACCATATTCTTATTCCCTGTGCTTTATCTACTCCCGTTTCATAGCCTGTACATGTGGGCAGAGATGACAGGTCTGCTCCCTATTCTCTACAGTGTTCTCACAAACTGGAATTGGTCTTCTCACGGGTTACTGCCTAGTATGTAACAGTTGCATCAATAGTGACAGCATTTGAAGGTGATAGCGATTAGGCATCTTTAAATTGCTTAGAAATTTGAGATCATATTTAGACTTTTAAAATCCATGGACATTTCTTCCATTCTCAAATAATGCATCTTAAATCTGCTATGGTGGTTTTGGTAGTGGGTGGTGGCTGCTTAGGTGGCTTACTGGCCCAGGGCTGTTGAACTATGGTCTCCCTTTTTTGGTGTTCTTCCCTGACTAATTGAGACTCTGAGCAGCAGCCTGCTTCATGGAAGTGCTGCTTCAAATTGGGAAGAAAGGCAGATTTAACAAATTGAAGTTACGCCTATAAGAACTAAAGACCTGCCTGGCTTGACTCTCTTAGATGCAGCCAGCAATTAGTAGGTAATTAAGAACCTTTTAAAAATACCTTTATAAAATTCTAGCTTGACTTTGCAGGCCACCTAATTCAGATGCCATAAGTCACAAAACCCACTGATTTTAGAGCTGAGAGTACATTAAGAATCTCTTCCAGGCAGGCATCAGCTTTGAGTCCTGAGCAGGTATCATGCAGAAGAAAATATCTTTCTTATTGTTGCTTGCAGAAATTTCAAAATTAAGAAATTTCCATTTTCCAAGTGTATAGACACAATTGTTTATAATAGTCTGTGATGCTCTTTTAGCCAACCCTTTTGTTAATTCCTGCTATCACTATCTGATACTGGGTGGTTACAAGAGCTCTTGTTTTGCTTTAAGACAAGTCTGAACCAGATCTGTTGTCTTTGCTGCACAGCCCTAGATAACTGACACAAAAAAGTATCATATCACTCCATGTACCATCGCAGCAGCACTGAGATAGCAGGGCTGCAGCAAAGCCGTGTTGGTTTTCTGTTTTATTTTGTTTCGACTTCATGTAACAACAGGAGTGACAGTTTGGGGCTGACTCTGTGGTGCATCATGTTGGTGATGTATGAAGCAGAAAAGAGACAGGTGGTTTTTCCAGCCCCAAAACTCACTTGAGGATCTGGCAGGTAGAAAAATCTCCTGTGAACTCGCTAAGTTAACAAATGACTCGCCTTGAGCCTGAGCAGGTTTGGGAAGTCAGTAGAGGAGAGTAAACCTGGGATGTGAGAAGGCTGTCACTTACCTGCCCAGCACAGTATTTTGGCCAGTAAACCACATGTGAACTGATGTACTTTTGAGAAGTCAGCAGCTGGCATTTAGGTTGGTTGATATCAAGTTGTGAAAAAACATCTATATCTAAGTGACTTTTTGAGAATAGTTTTGCTTTTAATTTTATTTAATATGTATGTATATATTTTTTTCTCTTAGCTTTGATCAACTTGTTGAAGTTCCTCATGTCTAATGAGACTGTGTTGCTGGCCAAACACAACATCTTCACCCTTGCTCTTATGGTGCGTATAGAGAAAGCAAATCCTCTACTCTAAGCAATTTAATTCATTTAATTGAACCTTAGGAAAGAATCCCGTATTTCTGGTCTTCTAAAGAGATATTAGAACAAGGTAGAGGAGCTGAGGGATATCACTGTGATTATTTTTGCTAGGAAGAGGTTTGGGAAAGGGAGTGCCTGGAGTCGGTGTGGGGTCTGCTCATTGAAATAAACACACTTACGTGAGGAAAGGCTTAGTTTAATTTTCCAGACTTGATAATGTTTTCTCTTGTTGTGGGGGCCCTATGTACACAAAGTACATGGAACTTCTTTTTCCGGGCCCCAGTTATGGTAGTATTCAAGCTTCTTGTCTGTCTCTTCTGTACTAATAAGAAAGGAAATAGATGAACCAGTGAAGTAATATAATGTGTAATGGAACCAAGGGGTCTTTTTTTTTTTTTTTTGAAGGCTCTGGACAGAGTTTGCATTGTTTATTTCTGCTGATTAGGTTTTGTGTAAATATACCTGTTGTAACTTAATTTCACTTCCTTATATAGGTTGTGAACCTGTTCAACATGTTCATCACTTACGGAGACACCTTTCTCCCCACTCCCAGCAGCTATGATGAGCTGTATTACGAAATCATTCGGATGCATCAGAATTTTGACAACCTTTATTCTATGGGTGAGTGCTCTCTGGCTGGTCAGGAACACTGTAGACCGGATGTGGGGGCTTGAGGGGGGTGTACGGAAGTTCTGTTCCTGTGTCAGGTGTTTTCTGTCTGCCTGTTGATGGTGTGGGTCTTAGTGAATAGATATGTTTTGTTTCAGTATGTCAGGTAAGGTAAGAACTGAGAAAGGGATAAACTTGTTAAAGGGATATGTTTTGTTTAGTCTGAAACCAGGCTTTTTATCAAAGGAATAGGCCTGTTACCTCTATAACAGCCACTGACTGTGATTGGAAATATATATTTCTTGGTGCAACTAGTTACGTGGGAGTTCATATTTCATGCATCTTTGTGTAGTTCAGTCAGTTTGTAGTTTGCATCTATTACATTTGGCAGCCTCAAGTGAGAGGGTGAGTGTAAGCTGCAGAACCAGTCAGCACTGGGAAGCACACATCACGAGCAAGAATTTGGAAAAGAATTTGAGAAATTTATGACAAGAAGCTGGCTGTGCTAGACAAATCACACTTAGTGCACTTATTGCTAAAACAAACCAAGAAAACAGCCCCCACAAACCTGCTTGCAATGACGAGCAAATCACTGGACTGAAGAATGTGCCTGCTGGCAAAACATGAAGAGGCTGCCATCCTTCAAACAGAGAAGCATGCTGGAATGCCACCAAGTGAAACCCAGCAGGAAAAAGAGGAACAAAGAATGCATAGAGGCATAATCAGGCAGTGTACACACAGGAGCCTGCTGCCGAGGGTAGCTGCAGCAGGTCTGGTGTAGTGCCTGCGTGCTTGAAGCTGTGAAGAAAAGAATATAGCTGCGTTCTTTGTTTGCTTTGTTCCAGAAGGACCTTTCTTCCCCAGGCCCCTTGCTGCCTTCTCAGCATGATCACCTAATGAACAACAGGAGTAATATAAGCATGTAAGGGGAGTTAAAGGGCAGAGGGAGGAGAGGCAGTTGGCCGCAGAACTGTGCTGACATGGGGAAGAATCCTCCTCATCAAAATAAGAGGAGCCAAATACTCCCTCCAGTTACAAGCAAAAAATGGACGCTTCTCTAGTATAAATTTTCTAGAGCTTTCATGTCTCATGCAAGGGCTCAGTTGCTCTTTTTGGTCTGCAGAGCAGATGAGATTTTTTTACTAACCTGTTGCCGACTCCCAAAAACTGTAGCTAGTGAGATGAGGTGGCTTTTACTAGTCAGCAATTTTTCAATCCCTTCTCCTGTGGAAGCTGAAGGAGAGTGGAATGGAAGAATAATGCACTCGGATACTTACTCAGTTGGGCTGCAGTAGGTCCATCTGACCTGTTGAAACAATTCATTTATCACCTGAATACGTTTTCTATCCTGCTGCATAGAGCAAACCCTTTGAATTGACAGTGTAGATACCTGAATGGAAACTCTCTCTGAATTCTTTACTTAAGATATTCAAGGACGGTACCTACTCTTTGACAGAATAACGTTACTCAGAGCTGACTTTTTTTTTTTTTTTTCCCCTTCTGCAAATGCCAGGTAATGGGAGCATTAGAAAGTGAGAAGGAATCACTGTCTCTGGTTGATGCCAGCCACCGTTTCACCAGATGTCCTGACAACTTCCCTTGGCTTTGTCAGAGCATCTCACTTAGGCTACAGTCACCCTTCTATCCTTGTCTTGGGACATTTGTTAGCACAGAAGACAAAGCTATTTTGTCCTTTAGTTTTACTGTTAACAGATGTTGACGAAGCCTTCTGCTTTGGGAGTAGGGGGTGAAATCTTGTTGCCTTGACTTTTGTTTTCTGGTCTTGAATCTGAACTTTATCCAGGCTTGCAGAACTGAAAGCTGCTTTTCTGTAATAATAGGCATGAGCGTGCAGCCACCATGCTTATGGGTTCACTTCTAGAATCAGTGTTTCTAGATGATCCTGAATTAGGGTGAAGTGCCTTTCCTTCATCTGTAAGCGTAAGGCGAGCCTTTCTTGTAGAATGTAACCCCAGAACCCCATGAATATACAGATTCATAAAATCCCTCCTATTTGGGCAATATGAAGGAAAAAAAAATCCAAATGTTTGCTCTGGACTCTGTTACTGTTTTGTTACTTACTAGAAGCTGTGCAGGTAACTGGCCCTCTAGAAACAGTACAGATTCTGACCTAAATAAATATTTTGGGGACTCTGGCAGCAAAGAATTGGATTCCCTGGAAGTTCTTCCTATTGCAGAATGCTTTCAGAACTGTTCCCCAGTCTGTCAGGGACCTCTGTGCCACAGAGTGACATACTGATTCCTACAGGGACCGTTTATCCCTAAGCTGATGTGTAATCTCTCTCTGCAGTTCCAGATAAAGGAGGAGGTAGAGTCAATCACTATTTTTCTCCTCCAGCTCCTATTCACACAAGGTTCCATCGAGCTAGACTACAGCCCATGATTTACACCCGATTCAATAATGTGGGGAATAAAAGGTAGCATAGACTGGAATTCTGGCCCTAGTTCTGAGGGAAAGCAACTTTAACATGGGATGATGAAATTAGGAGGAACTAGATGTCTTTTGATTCCTTTCTCTTCTCTCCTCTCTGCTTCCTTTCTCCCAGTCATTTTGTTCTGCACACCTTTTCCATGTTCCTTAAATTTCTTAGGTTCAGTTTTGAAGGGAACTTCTACTTTGGATCACAAATCATCTCAAAGACAGCCTTTTTTCCTCATAGGTCTCTGGCTGCCATCTCATCAAAGTAGATTTTTGACATTTTGGATGAAAAAATGTTTCATTGCCCATTCAGTGCCAGCACTGTTAACTGTCTTTTTTGTTTCAGTTCTAAGACTTTCTACCAATGCTGGTCAATGGAAAGAGCCTGCAAGCAAGGTGACCCATGCATTAGTTAATATTAGGTAAGGAGTGGAAGTTAATAACCATTTTGGAGATTCTCGTGTCCTGTGTGACTGCGTTTTTTATCATGACACTTTCACATTTGTTGTATTGAATTTGGTTTTGAATTTGTTTGCTTTGTTAGCCTAAATTGCTACTCTAAACAAGGCCAACTGGGGATAAAGATGGGGTCACGAGGATTTGTTTGTCCTTTTTCTAATGATTCTTAGTTCTTCTGTAGATGGAGTGCTTTCAAAGCATGGCACAAGCTGTAATGAATTAATCCTCACAGCATCCTTGGGAGAAATTGTACTGTAGGGAACAATGCTCTGCTGGCAGGGCAATTGTGGGCCTAACGGATTTCTTTCTCTGTTGCGTGATTCTGTTGCAATTCTGTAAAGCTACGAAGGAGACTATAAGCCTGCAGTAATAAGCATATTCCAGGCCTCTTTTAAACATTGCAAGATTTTAATGCATGTTTAAAACTGATTATTTAAAGACATTTCAGTATTCTCTTAAGCCTCTTCCTACTGTTCAAGGGCAGAAGTTATGCTCTGCTTATGAGGCTAGAGAATTTTTTTTTTTTGTACTGGATTCTTTCATGGTACTAGGACTGATGAGGGTGGAGGATGGAGTACTGGGATCATGAATCGGATTCAGTTTGATTGGAAAATGGAAAAAACATTGAGAGAGAGAATTTACTCTTTAGCTCTGACTTGTAAGCTGACCATAAAAGAGATGAGTATTTATACTGATAAAGGCTGTCCATTGCTACCCCATTCACTTCACAGGTCCTCTTTCTGAGAGGCACGATGTCTTTCTATGAAACAGCAGGTAGCTTACTACTACGTACCCTGCTCAGGCTTGTCGTTTTCCTTCCTGCGAAAGACTTTGCAGGGTAAACTCTCTGAGGGCATCTTTCAAGTCAATATACATTTTATGTGTCTATAAACCACCTTAAAGGTTCCCTTAGTAGGTCTGTAGGCTTTATAACCTCTTGTATGGTTCCAGAAGATTTATTTTGTTCCTATCCTTGTTTTTATGTCTGTTTACAAAAAAATAAATGAGTGCTCGTGGGCAGATAACGCTGCCTGTGTGAAGCAGCAGAACAGATAGCTGTTGGCAAAGTAACATCATTTAAAGTGACACAAAGTGTCTGCCCTGGGAATTATCTGTATATCCAGGGAGAGAAGCCTAAACTGGGAAGAGAGGCAACTGGTCACCAAGGATTTGTGCTGACTTCTGGTTTACGTAAGCGAGATTTTGCTTTCCCTTATTGGCTGCTGGTTTTAACAGCTGTTTTTATGAAGATCAATACACAACTCTAGATGAGATAAGCCAAACAACTGGCACCAAGATACCACTCCCAGGACAGGCTGCATTGGACCTATTCAGTGCATAGTGCTATCTGGAACCAGTGAAAACGCAACATGTTTCTGTTCTAGACTTTTGATAGTTTCTCTGCTCTGCCCAACTGCTCGTGAACGTTGAACTTTCACTAGGCTTGGTAATTTTCATGAATGACTGCTTTTCGCTCAGTAAAATTAGTTAAGGTGTAAATTAGAGATGATTGAAGGCCTAGAGAGAGATTAGACTTTAGAGGACTTAGTCTGTTTGACTTACCCCTTGTTTTTGAAGAGGAGAGGGGATATTTCATCTCCTTGTTTGTTTTCTTATTGTGATGACACTATTACATGTGAAGGGTTCTTCAATCTAGTAGATTTCAGAGCAGCCAGTTGGAGGATGGCCAGATTCAAAGGTACTGTACTTCTGCTAATGGTGAAGGTGATTGAAGCATCACACTGTGTAATGCTGATTAGGGCTAGATGCTTTTTTGGGAGGACATGCTTTAGAAAGATGAAAATAATGGTCTCAGTACAGGGAAATTGGATGAAGTCAGGGGCCTGTGATGACATAATAGTCCTTTCTGGCCTTAAGACTCTGAATTTAGACCTTTGGAAGTTTCAGGTCATGCAGCAGAAAAGGAGGAGAGAGAGTTCCTCCAGGAATGCTCCCAGCCTTCTAAGGCTTTCTGCAGTCTGTTAGGAAAGACTCTTTTGTCCTTTTCCGTTAGCTGTTCCACTTCTGCTGCAGTGACTGTAGGAAGAGTTGATGCTAGGGTGACATGTTACCTTCCGGGCTTAGACCAGGAACATAAAAATGGAGCTGTGCACGCACATTTGTCAGTCTGGTATGTTGTAGCACCTGCATGATTCTGTGCAAGCCCAAATCCCCCAATAGAAATGAGGAGAGGATGCTTGAAAAGTCTTAGAGCTGTCCAGCTGATGACTTTGTTAGAGAAACAAAATATGCTAATGCATGACAATATTATCCTAAGATGTATTTGCCATATGCACTGGTAAGGACATATTGACATGAACCTGTCTTAGCTCCCCCACTGCCTGGATTGCCTGTTGATCATGCCTTTTACCCTCATAGGGTTACCTTAGTGTACCGTTTCTTATCTGGATGTCTTTGCCATGAGGGGAGTGAGTTTAGAGAAATCATCTTACCTTGGATTTTTCCCTCAGCTCCATCATTCTTGAAATTTTTTATGAGCAAGGATAGCCTGTTTCTTTGCTGTATTGGTGTCAGTCATTCAGCAGTTGGTTTTGTTCATATTTCCATCTGTAACAGGGATGTTGAGGAGACTCATAAAAACAGAGGCCTATTTTGTCTCTGCAGTGTTGGGTTTGAGAGGTCATCTAATTCATTCCTCTGTACCGAAGAAGAATGAGAAATACCTGGAGGATCACTGACACATTCTTGTCTAATATCAACCAAAGGGAGATTTCACTTTTGTTGGGTGTCTTATTGTGGTGTTAGCTATCTTCTGTAGTGGGACCCTGTTCCCCAGCATGCAGTCTAATGGGTTTTGTTGTTGATTTAACTTACCTGATTTTTTTCTAGTCTGTACTCCAGTGAAAAGACGAGCAATCATGAATGCTCTTTCCATTTAAAAAAAAGTTTTAAGTATTGAGAGAGTTGTGTTCCTACCCTCCCTCCATACCTCTCCTTCTAAGAGACAATTCAACATTTCTTACGACTTAAAATGGAAATTTGAAGAAGGCAGGATAGTAATGGTCTTACCTAGCTGAAATCCTTCACACCCTGCTGGAATTCATGATTCCCTACTACTATCCTATCCCATGATGGTGGTTACAACTCCTCTCCATGGATTTGTCTGTGCACTATGCATAAATAACTGAGGTATGATGGACTGCCAGGTACGATTGTAGCACTGATTGGTTGAAATAAGCTCTAGCAGTTAGTGGTTTGAAAATTCACCTTCTCACCTATGAGGAAATAAGCAACTTCTGAGACGAGTAATTTTTTGAAGCTAATGAGCCTCTTTAAGATAACATTGTGCAGATTTGCATTTGATGAGAATTTTATTAACACAGAGTTCAAAGGGGCATCTTCTGATTGCTTACTCAGTAAGGAAGGTGGCATCTGAATCATTGTATTCTTTTAATAGACTTTTCTCCTGATCAGTAATTTTTTCAAGGTGAATGAATAATTAACCCAATGATTAATAGACTGAATTTCCCCGTTATCTGAAATTCAGTCACATCATCATTTTTAAAGTAACTTTATTTTTGCTCATTGAAACATTTTTAACAATCAGAGGGTAAGTTTGTAGTATGGAACTAGGTAATGGATTTTTCTGAAGCGTGTTTTATGTGCTGTTGTAGCACACGCTGCAGTCCTTGCTTGGGTGCTTTCATTCACTCTTCTATCTTGCAGCTACTTTTGTTCCACATGAACGTTCCTGTGCGATATTCTTTGTACGGGAGGCACTGACTTCTCCCAAGGCTGCTTTTGGGATCGTAAAGGAGAGACTGGGGATTTGGGAGGAGCACTTAAAGCATCGCATGGACGTATATAAAATGGTTATGTTTGCTGCCAGTCTGGGCAGGAGAACTCTGTGGGAACACTTATGGGTTTTACTTAGGTGAAAGAAGGCCAAATTGGACTGTGCTCACTTGTAGGATATGTGGCATCGCTGTTCCGAAGCTATCGCGCATGTTAAATTCCCAACTCTATAGAGAGCTATATTTATTGAAAGCCTGATAGAGGAGGAGGCTCTGTTCAGAGATTTGTTAGAAAGTGAGCAGCTGCAAGCAGTCCGCATAGTCCCTTCCGCATGTTTCTGTTTTCTAGCAAGGAATTTGGCATCTGTTCTTGGGGAGAGAAGAGCTAAATGCTGCTGACCTAGCCATGTTGGAATGGATAGCTGCAGTGTTTGTTTAGGATACATAAAAGGTGACCCGCTTATAGATATGTGCATCCATATAGAGTGAATGCCTATGGAATACACTCAGTGAGTGTCTTTAAAAAAAACAAAAACAAAAAAAAAAAACCTTCTTTATATGAGTAGAGAATGAAAAAGGGGGGGCAAGCCATTTGCTATGAAAGTAAACAGTCAAGGGAATACATTAATATTTATATCTATACATGTGTATAGGGGGGGTGTATGTTTTTTATATATATATATATACACACACATATACGTACACACACACATGCACTCAACTTGCCTTTGACACTGGGCTAATCCAAAGTGGTAGCTTGGCAATTGAAAGAACCAAGACGCTTGCTTGTTTGCAGTTCCTTTATGGAATAAACCACAACTGTTATTTAAGGATGCTCGGTTGTTCCTTCTATTGTAGTAGCTGTCAGCAGCACTCTTGTGCTGCGTGAATGTATAAAAGCCAAGATCAATATAGATGGTGCAAAATTGCTTGACTCGGGCCCTTCAGTGCTGACCGGCAGAGGGTGCTCAGACATTCAGGTTAGCCCAGTTTAATCCTGAGTTTGTTTGCTATTGATTCTTAAACCCAATTGTGAAAGCTCCTAGTGGTAGAATAACAACTCCATTAAACTGTGCACTGAGGTATGTTTAATGGTAATGACCTCTGACATGCTGTCACTGCTAATCAGCCTGACTGAACTCAGATCACAGCCTAGTACAAGACGCTCAACAAATTAAAATACGTTTATGAGTTTTTCTTTGGGTTTT